ATAAACAAGAACTGCAATACTAAACTCAAAATAACAAAGTATTTCACTATTCCTGCCCCAAATTATAAGTATTTCTATATAAAACAGGCAGCACCTGACTAGTATATGACAAATTTATGTTTAAGTAATTCTAAAGAAAGTCTTTTCTTCTGTACTCCCAGCCAGTATAAAAGTCTTCCCCAACAGCTCTGGCTAGTGTAGCTCAGTGGATTGAGCATGGGCCTGTGAAGCAAAGGGTCACTGGTCGTTTCTCAGTCAGGGCACATGCCTGGGTTGCAGGCCAGTTCCCAGCAGGGGGCACATGAGAGGCAACCGCGCACTGTTGTTTTTCTCCCACTCTTTCTCCTTCCCATCCCCTCTCTCTGAAAATAATTAAAAAAACAAAAACTCTTCCCCAAAAGAACCTCCTGCTCCCAAGCCCTGGTCTCTGCCTCACCTCAGCTAAACCACCACCCTACCATGTTGTCTGGGCAGGTGAGGGGAAGAGACCATGCACACACATGTCACACATACATACGTTCACTCTTCTCTTACACCCAACTTGCTGCAATTTCTCTGAATATGAAAACCTAGAGGGGAGCAATGCAGAGGGACTAGTTATGACTTCCTCTCACTACAGTTATGCTATCAGAAAAGGAAAAGATACAAAAAAGAAGAGGAGGGAGGTACAAAGGAGAGAAGTTATGCTGCAGTCTTATCCTACCCCCTCAGCTCTTTACCTCCCTCAGGTTTCATGAAATCAAGACTTCCAAATCTGCCCACCTCTCCCCACTCCTTTCCCAGAAGCATTTCCCAAGTGCCTCCCTCCCTTTATGCACACTAATCCCCTCCTAGCTTTCCTGGGAGTTCCATCCCAAGAAACTGGAAAATAAATACTAAATGAATATAATTCATCATTTAATACTGTAACCCTTGCCTTCTAGTAAAGCTTTGCTGTAACTGTAGTCCATTTTTTAATGATGTTACTTTTAGAACTTAGAGGTTTAGTTTATAATGAGAAACCTAATATTATTTTTCACACCCACTGGGCAGGAGCTGTTTTCACTACTGTTAATGTATCTTGCCTGACTGATTTTACATTGAGACCCAGCAAGTGAAGCCACTGAGTAGTCAAAACTGGTACCCCAAAAATTTGAGGGCAAGTTGTTATTATGACAATAGCCTCTCTACTAATTGGGACATGTTGATTAGGCTGACTGGCTCATGGAGTTCCTTGTCTTCCCTTAACATTTCATTCAGGTGTTCTATTTCCAAGGCTGGGCAATCTCCACAGACAGATTACATGGTCTTTGCACCAGAATTCACTGGGCCAAAAAGCCCATTTAGTTTTTCCCGTAAAATAAAGACACATTTTTCATTTTCACCAATAACTTTATTGACTTGAATATTGAGTATGTTGGCTGTCTGCAGCTAACGGCTTCTAGTGGGTAGAAGCCAGGGGTGCAGGTAAACATTTTCTAATGCACAAGACAGCCCCACAGCAAAGAATTATTTAGCCCAAATGTCAATAGTACCATGAAACTTCACAAACCACTTTTGACACGTTCAATCAGTCACAGTACCTTCTCCATACACTGCACAATCTTTTTTTGCATTTCAGTTGTGTCTTTACCTTTCTTTAACTAATAAAGCATAATACACTGAAAATGTTGCATATCTCCTTCCATCTTCAATATTAAAATGGTCCCACAAAAATTCACCAATTTTGATAAGCTTTTTTTAGTGCATGTTGATATGACAGCTGTCACAATACAATCTAACAAAATTGTTTCAAATTAAGTTAAAGACAACTGAGCACTACTAGGGCTATGGTAGGGGAAAATGTAATGAACTTTTTGGCCAACTTAATACTTCAGCCCATAGTTTCATATTCAGTTCTAATCAACTTAGTTGGTTTTCAAGTTCATGTCTAATCAGAAAGAATACATTTTACACATAGAAAAGCACTTCTTTCCATTATGCTGAGTGAAATAGGCCAGGAGTTGAAAGACAAATACCATATGATCTCACCTTTAACAGGAAGCTAAACAAAACAAACAAGCAAGCAGAATAAAAACAAAGACACTGAAATAGAGGACAAGGGGACAGTGACCAGAGGGGAGAGGGGAAGGAATTTAAGGGGGAAAAAGGGGGAGGGTTTTGGAGGAACAAATAGGAAGGACACAGGGACGAGAACTAAGGGGGGTGGAAATGGGAGGGAGGTGGGAGAGCTGGGATGAGAGAAATAGACAAAAAACTGTACTTGAAAAATAACTACATAAAATTATTTTTTAAAAAAAGAAAAATAAAGGAAAAATATATATAATAATATGATTATCAGGAACAAAGCCTATAATATTTTATAAAATTGTTTAAAGGTTCAATTAAATCAGTATGCTAAAAATAAAAAAAATTTTTAAAAAAAAAGAAAAGCACTTCTTTCATTCAATTATCATTAGTTGAATGCCTAAGAAGTGCCAGGCACCTGGAGACTGGTATTGACCAATACATAGTGATCCCTATCACTGTGGCTCACAGAAGCATAAATTAAAACAAAAATAATAATAAATAAAATAATTACAAAGTGTGACAGTTGCTAATGGCTATTAAGAGCTGAGGAACTTGTACTTTCTCCAGATAGGAAGAGCAATTTCCTTTCTAACACAATCAAAATACAGAATTAAAAATTCATATAATTTATTGGCCCCAAATATACTCTAAAATTTATTTATTTTTTATTAAATCCCAGCACTGGTCATGTGGCTCCATTGGTTGGAGTATCATCCCATACAACAAAAGGTTGTGAGTTCAATTCCCAGTTATGGCACATACCTGGGTTAAGGGTGATTCCCATTCGGGATTCATATAGGAGGCAACCAATCTGTTTCTCTCTCTCTTTCTCTCCCCTTCTCTCTCTCCTTTCCTCTCTCTCTAAAATTAACAAACATATCCTCAGGTGAGGATTTAAAAAACAATTAAATCCCAGATGCTGACTTGTTAACCATTTTTATGTTAAACACTGAATGCCACTCCAACCCCTAGAATAGAAGTGGTAAGTGAAGGGCTTAAGGCAGCATTTCCGTAGGTGGAGTCAATTCTCAGTGACCCATTTCCAAAAATGAGTCACTGAGAAGTGAGGGGAGGAAGCAGGCCAAAGAGCATACCTTCAGATATTTCAAAACTTGGCCTAGAGTGGGCCCTATAAATAGGAAAAGACACTCCTCCTCCTTGTCAAGATCACTTAGTACCTTGGTCCCCAGGATCCATACCTTATGTAGTTCCATACCTCACTTGCTTTAAGCAACTTCTGTAGACTCACCTGGGCACAAAACCACCTTGTGGAATTTTTTTAGAAACTGAGATAGATTCCAAACATGCAAGTGACAAATCAACCCCACTTAAACTGGAGACTGCCATGATAAAACAATCATTGCTTTCTGCAGTGTTCAACTCCAATCAAAACTCAATCATACCACCCAATCTTTAAGGAACACTTTATTTTTTAAGATTTTATTTATTTATTTCCAGAGAGTGGTGAAGGAAGAAAGAAAGGTAGAGAAACATTGATGCTTGAGAGAAACATCAATTGGTTGCCTCTCCCAAGCACCCGACCAGACAACTGGCCTGCAATCCAGGCATGTGCCCTGACCAGGAATAGAACCTGAGACCTTTCTGGTTTGCGGGAGGATGCCCAACCCACCAAGCCACACCAGTCAGGGATTTAAGGAACATTTTTTAAAATTACATTATTATAAGTACCTAATATTTTCAAATATGCCAAACACAAGAACCTAATATTAAAACCTAATGACTGGCAGATACAATTAACTACAAATCTGATCCACACAGGCAATAACCTGAATTTTCATCAAGGAAGCTACAAGCACTAATGATGGAGCAAAAATGAACCCAGGCTTTATCTGGGCCTCAGTGGGGAAAAAAAACAGCTCCAAACTGTCATTTTGGAAGAAAACTACATTTCTTACAATCCAAATGTAATTTCTGCAAATTTAACTCCAAGACTTTTCTTAATTTGCTTGACTTTGCTTCCTCAAACAAAATTATTCATAGACTGAAGATTAGATTTGTTCCATGCTACTGTACCTCCACTTCTTCCCATTTTATAAAGTCTGACCTACATTAAGTTAACAAGTTACTTCTGAAAGCCTCCACCTGGCCTTTCTTTCTAAACACCTACAGTTGTAAACAGGGAGATTTGTAGTCCAGTCCTCTTACCACAAATTAGGAATTAAAAAGGAATAATCTCTCTTTTAAAAATGATCTACAGAGAATTTTCTGCCAATTCCCTCTCTTCACCCACTCCTTTGTAACCACCAGGAAATTCTCCCTTTGGTCTCTTAGACATCACCCTCAAACTCTCCCATCCACCTGTGCTGCTCCTTGCTGTTCCCATGGAGAACACCTGCCCCCCTCAGTCTCATCATCTGCTGCTCAAAAGCCTATGACTTCCACATTGGCTGGTGTAACTCAGTGAATTGAGCCCCAGCCTGAGAACCAAAGGCTTGAGGTTCCATTCCCACTCAGGGCCCATGCCTGGGTTGCAGGCCAGTTCCCAGAACTGGGAACCCACAGCAGGCAACCACACATTGATATTTCTCTCCTTCTCTCCTTCCCTTCCCCTCTAAAAAAAGATAAATTAATTTTTAAAAAACCTCTCCAAAAAAATCTATGACTTCCCATCTCACTCAAAATAAAAAGTTTCTTAGTTACTGTAACGGTCAAGCTCTGCATCATCTAATCAGCCTGTCATCTCCTTAACTTTTCAGCTTCATCTCTTTCACTCCTACCATCACTCCCTGCTCGCACCTTTATACTAACTTTCTGCCTGGAATGCTCCCTCCTCTCCTTGAAAATCTTTCTCAAATGTTCCCTTAACCCTCCACCCACCCCTCCCATGTAAAACTGGAAACTTCCAACTTCCTATCCCCTAACAAACTTTCCATTCCACTTATTTCATTAACTGTTATTCTCAATATAGGTTCTAGAATGCAAGAATTTACCTGTTTTGTTCACTGCTGTATCCCCAACGCCGAGGACACTGCGAGTTACCTGACAAGAGTGGAGTAAATATTTGTGAATGAATCAAAGTGTTATTCACAATGGGATGTTTGCTGAGCACCAGGCCCCAGCCAAGTTTGTTAAAGTCAGGGTAGGTAAAACACTGTCCCTGACTTTAAGGCACCAGATGGAGAACAGGGCTGCAAACTGAGGCCACGGGCAAACGTGCCAAATGCTCAGAGGACGAGGCCCTGGCTTCGCCTTTCTGGGAACCATCATCGCGCAATTCGCCAGGCAGCTCCTCTAGATTCCCGAGATAACCGGGGACCCTCCTGCACTCCCCAAACCTGAGCGGTTACACAGCTAGAGGTGCAACTTCCGGCCTCTTCGCGCCCGCCGGGCACGGGACTTAATGAAACAAATGTAAAAGTCTCTGCTCTTCAGCCTCCCCACCCTCTCCTTTAACCTAGGGGCCACTCCCCACAACCGGCTAGGACAGAACCCCGTGCAGACGACAACGCTTTCTCCGCCACTTGCACCCTACTTCCGTGGTCCACACCTGCTCCCGACGGTCCCTTCTCCTCTAGCCTGCGCCTGCGCCAGCCCACCCACGTGATTTCGGGAGAGGCTGGCCTCCCCCCCCACCCCAGAGGGTGGCCACGCCCTAGCATAGAACTGGCTTCTGATTGGCTGTCCGTCTCTTGCGGAGCCGGCTTGGGGAGGCCTGGGTCTGCACTTGTGAAAGCGACGCCAGTCAAGTCTTCAGCTACTTCTTTCCGCTCTTCGCCTCCGCCAGCTCCCTGTAATCCCGCCAACATGTCTCAGGTATAACTCGTGCCCAGCCCGGCTATGAAAGTGCAGCGGGGCGGGAAGCCGGTGTCGGGACTATCCCGCACCAGAACCCTGAAAGGTCTTTCTCTTCCCGGCTCCGCTTTTCTTCCTGGACTCATGCCCAGCTCTTTGGACTGAGCCTTCTGAGCAGAACTTTCCGGTTTGGGGATCTCAACACTGCTATCCAAACCGTAACTGCTGGGAAGTTGCCCATCGAGTAGGCTTCGTGGTGAAGCAGTGAGGGTCTGAGGGACTTAGAGGGTCGCATGGATTGAAGGAGCGAGGGGACCGAGGTCCGCCACCAGGAAGGACTGGACGGGAGCCGGGACGCTATCCAAGTGGGGAAGCAAGGAGGCGGTGGCTGAGCTTGGAGGTCAGGAGAAATAGGGGCCCAGTGTCCAGCGTGCGGGAAGGGGAGGGTGCACCGAGGGAGCGGTAATCCAGAGGCTTTACCCTTCCCTGAATGTAGATGCTTTTCCGAGACCGAGCAGTGTGGAGCGACTTTTGTCTCCTCACCTCACCGGCACTGGGACAGGAGTTGGCGCTGGATTTCCGGACGCCAGGGGAAGGGGCCCAACAGGCTCAGGCCGCTGACCCTGCTGTACTCATAACTTGCCTCCTTCTCAGCTGTTTCAAGCCCCTGTGCCATCCCTATTCACAGAGAGGGCTTCACTGGGACCCCAGCCATTCCCCAGAATGACCTAGTAGTGGCCAGGCAGTAGGCCACACTTCTTTTCCTGCCCAGTACGTTCTCACTACAAGCAGTCTTAGCCTGTCTCCTTCACCACTGGATTTCCAGTACCTGACACCTGGTATAGTGAGAGCTCCCTTTACATATTTGTTGATGAAATAAGTGAACCTATGTACTTCCCATCGTTGCTTTGCTGAATCTTTCTAGCTGACCTGTTGTGTAGATAATGGGGAAACATTTGAGGGAGCGCTGTTTCTCCTCGCCTGCGTTACAGGAGTAAGGCCTTTGCAACTCCTGCATCCCCATTACTGAGCTCTATTTGGGCCTCACCCCTCTCTGGCATTTAGGCTGAGTTTGACAAAGCTGCTGAGGAGGTTAAGCACCTCAAGACCAAGCCAGCAGATGATGAGATGCTGTTCATCTACAGCCACTACAAACAAGCAACTGTGGGTGACATAAATACAGGTATGCGGAGATGAGTTTGGGAGGGCCCCTGTTCATCAAACCTAACTCAGCAGCCTTGATTGGTGTTGGAACTCTTAAACTGTGGGAACCTCATTCAAAACCACCAAGACCCCACTCTTTGGTTGGGGCATGGTAATTTTTCATGATGTTCCAGGGATTTAAGGTAGGAGAGGGTCCCCAGAGACATGTTCCTGGTTTACAGACCCTGTACTATTCTTGTTTCTTGATAGCTCTGGTAGCAGTATTCAAATCATAGTTTTGAAAAGACTTTACTGATTATCAAGAGCTTTCCCCATCTACTTGGGAGGAAGCAAAGGCCCACCAACTCTCAGCTCAGTAACAGCTTTGTTGAAACATACTGCTTCCACCCTAGATAGGCAAGATCAAAGTCTCAGAGCACTTGGCAGTGGGGCCTAGCCTAAATCAGGAGCAGAGGAGCAGCTGGCTTCCTGGGGCAGGTCAGAGCATTTTGGCTGAAACAGTTTCTGATGACCGTTCCCTGTTGAAAAATCCTGGTACAGATTTTGAAGCCATAGTTTGAATATACCACATTCTATAATACTGCCCTTTCTGCCTTGGCCAATTTTCACTCTGCCCCGAAAGTCCCTGAAACTCAAGTGTATACTGAGGCAACAGCACAATTCAGTCCATGCAAGGACTCAGAGGTGGTCATGGCACCACAAAAGGTCACCCCTATGCCTTTCTGTTCAGGAGGATGAGCATGATTCCCAATTCCACTGCAGTTGGGGTGGAGCAAGTGGTCTGGCAATCAGCCAGCCATATACATGAGAGGGTACCCAGAGAGGTAAGGGTCTGGGCAAAGTCAAATCAAACTTGGGTTCACAGGAAGGGCTGAGTTGAGAAAGTTCTTATGGCAAGGGTGAGTCTTAGGGTGGTGGGTTTATAAGCTTTGTATCCTCCTGGGAAGGGGAGGGAGAGATGAAGAGAGAGTGGCCAGGGTAGCTGAGATACTCTTCAACCAGGCAGTATTTTACACAGAGACTGTCTCTGCCCTGCTTTTATAGGAGGATAGGAATACTGGCTTGGGGATCTATCACTTCTTTATCAGGGAGGTATCGGCACACTCTAGGACTTCATGGGCCAATACAGTAGCCACTAGCCACGTGTCATTACCTAAATTGAAACTAAAATAGTTTAAATTAAAGTCAAAAGTTCTGCCTTTACTCACACAAACTACCATTCCAGGAGCTCAGTTGCACAAGAGATAAATAGTCCCTGGGTTGGTTAATGCAAATGTACAATGTTTCCATCATTGTGGAAGGGCTGGCGGAATGTGCTGCTCTAGGATTTGGTTGATGACTGCAGGTGTGGTTTCTCCCAGGTAGCCTGGGAATGAGTCCCTGAAATCACTTAGGAAGATGTGATGTTCCACTGACACAGTGGTACAGGCTGTGAGCACTGTGGTTGTCCCCCTTGTCTCCGTTCTCAGCATGTCTAGAAATGAGGTCAACAGGGAAGAATTGCATGTGTTTCCCAAGTGCAACTGATAACAAGTGTGTAAGCATAAAGTCATGGTATAACTTAAAGAAAACTTGCTCTCAGGAAAAAAAAACTCTCACAAATCAACAAGAAATAGACTAACAGTTTGGTTAAAAAAATGGGCGAGGATATGAACATATGGTTCACAGAAAAGGACACCTAGAAAACTGAAAACAACAATGCATGAGACAGAGAAATGAGGTAGGAGGGAAACTTTATACTATTCCCCTTTGTAGCATTTGGGTTTTAAGCCATGTGCATGGATATAGTGCTTATTTTTTGTTTGTTTCTGGGGGGGGGTGCTTTGTTTTAATTAAAGTATAATACAGTTTTTTTAAAGGAGAAGTATTGGAATTACTTAACTTAGAAAACAAGGACTCTCTAGTAATGAGAACAGTTTTTGTTGTACTTTCTCTGGATGTTAAATTTGGACTTCTGTACACTGTCCTAAGCCTGTTTAACTTCATAACAGAGTGTAAAAGGGGTAGGTGTAATAAAAGATGGCTTTTGTGGCAAGAGAGTTGAAAAAGTTTTCCATTAGAACTTGAAGGAGATCTAGTGTCTTTCCTTTTCTTCTTGAAGAACGGCCTGGGATGTTGGACTTCAAAGGCAAGGCCAAGTGGGATGCCTGGAATGAGCTGAAAGGTAATTGTTCTAATCAGTTTCTCTCATTTGTGAAGCCCAGTAATGAAATACTCTTGATTATGGAGTGCAAGGGGTGAGGAGAGAAAACAAAGAGGATGAGGCACATGCTAGAAACCAGTTTGACCTGTGTCAGAATGGAAAGAAACTGGGCCACCTACTTTTTCTCCTAATATCATTAATGCCTTTTCCAAAAGCACCATCTCCAAGCAGTTGTACTATCTAGAGAGAAGGGACAGGGACCAGGCCACTGAGAAGCAGATTGGAAGGCTATATAGTTGGCGAGGACTTTATATACATTCAGAATAAGAAGTGAATTTCTGCTCACACCTTCCTCTCTCCCACAAGGCCAGGCGGTGACCCCATAGCCCAAGCAGCCCTCCTTAGTTCCCTTTCAGCCAGAAAGGCACACAAAAAAGAAAGGAATGAGCTAATGCATGGCAAGCTTCTGGCACTCATAGGCTCAGTGAATGGAGCTATTATATGCTAAGCAAGAGCAGCCAAGAAGTGTCTCAGCTCCAACTTAATCACGTGCCACCTGCAGCAGCAAGCCCTAAAAGTTGGCACTGAAGTGCCTGCAAGCTTTTGTGTTCTTGCTAGCTAGTTTCTGAGTAAGCTCTCTGTCTTCCTGCAAATGAGAAACCCTTGAATTCAAACAGGACCAGAATACAATAAAAAATACTCCTAGGATTTGTAAGTAACTGGAACAGGAATGCCTATCTGTTCTATACCATCTGACCTATCTGACTCTCCATTTTCATTGGGCATTTCCATCCCATCCTCAAGCCCCATGCATTCTCTAACACTTCAGGTGCGCTCCATTTCCCAGCAAGAAGTGAATTCACTGTGGAATCCAGGAAAGTAGGTGTTACTGTGTCTGAAGGATGTATTCAGTGTCTCTTATGCAGCAGCAGGAAAGCAAAAATTTGCTCATTCCTCTCTAAGAGCCAGCTGCTTTTGCTCAGAGTTCTCAAAACTTTTCTCATAACTTCTCTCTGGGAAGAAGAGCATGCCTCACTTTGCTGTTTCACTGCCAGCTTAGGAACCCAACAGAGAAATACTTGGTAGGGAAAAGCCAACCGTGAGAGTTGGCAGGACTGGCAGAGCTGCCATGGCTCCTCACTTTAGGCTTTCTTGCCTGTCTGGAAGGCCCAACCTTTCTCCTGAGGCTGAGGCTAACCACTCACGATGGGGGATGTGTGGCCAGCAGACCATTGGCAGGCCTCAGGACAGCCACACACATTGGTTCAGTGCTTTATGGAGCATTCACAATGGGCCAGGCTTCTCAAGAACTTTACGTCAAATCATGGCCAAGTCTCTGAGGTGTAGGTAGTAGGACTCCCTGCTCTAGCAGTGAGAAACCGAGCCTCCAAGCATTAAAGCAGGGCTGTCTGGGGCTCTAAGGCTCCTGCTTTTCTGCCATGCTGTCTCTCTGACAAACAGTCTGTTGGTTCCTTACAGGGACTTCCAAGGAAGACGCCATTAAAGCGTACATCGACAAAGTAGCGGAGCTGAAGAAGAAGTATGGGATCTAGGTGTGGCTGCCAGCCATGCGTTTTGTCTAAACTGATGCATCCCTTGTTTTTGTAATGCTGCCAGTGGAGTGAAATAACGGATCAGCCCTCTTCCTGAACACTGTCCAGGCCATGTCTCTAACAGATTAAGGAGTTGAAATGGTCACCTTGCTGAGTAGTTTTTGTCTCTAGGTCAATTAAAACTGCATTTATTATTTTAAGCCTTCGGTCATCTGGTTTCTTGAAATAATTTACTCTGTCCCAATGTCATTTGCTCACTTCCTTTTTCTAAAGATTTTGTCTGGAGGCGTTTGAGCCCTTGTCCTGTGTTAGGAGTGGGAGGCCAGCGATCTCACCTGATCCAGGCCTAGAGTACGCTCATCTTCTGTGGGGAGGAAAAGGGTTATAGGAGTGGCCTTTTCTACTTCCTTCTGCCTCCTAGCTCTAGCTGCACCCATCAGGCAGGCTGGCAGAGCCCTCAGTCTGAAGTTACTTACTCCCTCTGTCAGAAACATTGCTGGCCTTGTGCTCTGAGGAAGGCAGGGCTGACAAGTGTTTGAGGTGTCTCTGGTCCAGCCAGTCCACAGATCCAGAGCAAGGAGAAAGGAGTTCTTGGAGGCCCAGGAGAAGCCTGGCCACAGATGCTGGGCAGGCGAAAATGTGCAGGGGAAGGGAGATCAAGACCCAGGAAGGACAAGGGGTTAGGCTGCAGAGAAGAAAAACGAGCTTGACCCTGGATTATGTAGGTTGTTGAAAAGTGAAAAAGATAGCTGTCAGACCCTCTTTGCCAGACGTTCCCCTTCAGTCCCTTCCACAGTACTGCAAAGGAGATAACACTGTTCCCATTTTGCAAATGGGAGAGTAAGCGTACATTTGCAGGTAAGGTCATTGAGGCTGAAAGGAATTAGGGAGAAGCTCTCTGAAGCCGAGCAGCTCTCAGTTCCCTCCAGAGCCTGTGCCCTGTCCTACACAGTTCAACCTCACTCCAGAAGAACAGTGAGGTTGGAGAGTTAGTGACTTGCCCAAGATCACTCAGCTGGTGAGTACTCATAAACTAAGAATTAGCATTCATGTGCAGATCTCCCCAGTTCAGGAGCCTGTTCCCTTCTAACACCTCTCAGGCATGACCAGTGCTGTAGTGGGAGAAACAGCAAGGAGGGCAACTGGTATGGCCGTAGTATGGCACACCTGTGTTAAATGGGCCTAAGTAGTGCAAAGTCTTGGTAACAAAATTGCAAAGTACAGAATTTGACCATAGGGGACAGCCACTAGGAAGTGCATGGTTGACAGCTGTTGAGAACAGTGATCCTTCCAGCCCAGCCTGTCCATGAAAAACTAGGTCTGGCAGCCCAGGTGTAGAGAGGATGGTTGCTCCAATGAAACAAAGGGGTCGAGGTCCAAAGCCCTAACGTGGCCCAAGTAAGGTGACTTTTTGAGTAGCAGTGTCATTTATGTGGGAGACAGTCCTTCCTGAGCGCAGATGTGATGAGGGCTTATGAGGCAGGAAGTCTGCAGTCCTCTCCTCCCAACTCACTGCCATCTTCGAGCACCATCAGAGGCAGAAGGAAGCCACAGCTACTCACTTGTACCCATATCTGGATCATCTTTGCTTGGTCACTGGCTGTTTCAGGAGTGAACCAAAGATAAACAACCTTAAATGAGGTTCAAACAGACCTGGCTCTAGGTGCCTAAGCACACCTCCCAGGAGGGTGAAAGTGAGCATTAAATGAGATTCCGCGAGGAGCTCCTGGCATAGAGTGGATACCCTGTGTTCGATGCTTCATCGGTTTTTCTCCCACCAACTCCTGTCCCTGACAATATCCTTTGCAGTATCTATAGGAGTAAAGGACAGAGTCCAGGAACAAATTACCACTCCTTTGGTAACACAAGAGGGTATGGATAGGACAAGCACCTGCCCAGCATTCTGCCCTATTTCTAGCTTATGATAGGCAGCCAGGGTCTGGCAGACGTGCTCAGGTACTGTTTCACTGCCTTGCTGCAGGACAGACTCAGAGAAGGAAGTCCTGATAAAGATCGTGCTCTGGTAACTCAGCAGTGACTGTGCTAAGGTTGTATTATGATGACCCAATAGTCCTTGTGGACAGTAGATGGGGGAGAACCACATTGGGAGAGAAAAGGCTTAGATCCAAGGCCCATCTGCCCACCTCTGGTGTGGCCTCTAATTAATGACCATCATTCGCTGAGAACCTGAAGGGCCAGGCATCCCCCTCTGGTTCTCAAATTTGATCGTGCAGTGCTTTGAGGTGGCACTACCCCTCACTGTTGTGTAATGGGGATCACTGTGCTTGTTAATCAAATGAAGAAATAAGGGTTCCTGCGATGTGAGTGGATCCAAACTCAGGGCTCTGTGGTCAGAAGGCCCTGCTCACCCCCTCTGTCGTATTCCCTCTGGTGATGATCACTGGCTGCCACTCAGCTCTGTGCCTCCCCTGTCAGTCAGATGATGAGAGTGACCCTCATTTCGCTGGGCTAGCATAAGTACTATGAAATCCCTCGCCTGCTGTGCAGCTACTACCTGAAGAGTGGCTTGGAAAAGCAGGTCACATCTCCAAGGCTGGAGTGGGGCCCAGATGAGCTGTACTTTTTTAAATGCCTGAGGTGATTCCGTGGCTCTGCCAGGTTTGAGAGGGGCCTCCCCAATCACTTTAAAGCAGTAGTACCAGTTTCTCAGGAAGTACGGCTCCTGTGGTGTTCTGGGATTAGCCCCCAGCAGCCTCAGGGGCTGGGCCTGCTCCTATGGCTTTTGCAGATGTCCAGGTAGCTCAGGAGTGTTTCACAGGGTGTTATTTAGGAACAGATGAGGCAATGGGGAGCAGGGTAGAGCACTCTTCATCTTCTCCTCTTTGAGATGCCCACACCATCCCTGTGGTACTTTTTATGGCCAATCTGGCTTTGGTGACAGACTTACCTTTGAATCCCACTTCAGCCTCTCAGGCGCTAAATCACATATCTTTTTGGAGCCACACTTCATGTGGGAAATGGGCTGATAAGATGGGTCAAGTGCTTAGTACATTACCTAGCAAACAGCTAGCAACCTGGAGGTCTTTCTTAGTATGCATCCTCCCCCTCAGGACTTCCCTCCCCACTGTCTGCACAGGTCCTGCCCTGGGACTACAAAGTGCTGCTCCCCGCCTTAGCAGTGCTCTAATAATTTGGGGGTCATCATGCAAGAAAATGTGTTGTTTCCTAGGATGTTTCCACACCAACCAATGCTATAGATCAGAAACCAGACAGCCTGTGGGACATGGAAAGGCCACTGACCGAGTTACAGAAACATGGGGCAAGTTATGTCACCTCTGTAAGCCTTAGCTTCTTCACCAATAAAATGAGGTGGAACAGAAGGTCACATGCCCAGTGCAGACAGGAAGGAAAGCCACAGGAGGGGGAAGAGAAGGTCCTAGGGGTGGGTGCCTTGATGAAGTCAAGCTGGGAAGTTGCATGGGGGTGGTTTAGCTGCCATAAGATTAATTATATTTAAAATTAAATTACAGGTGTTGGAGTTGAGAACACCCAGCAGAAGCAGGCTGTAGTGAAGCTGTGTCTTTGTGACCTGGATCAGGGAAAGACAACACCTCTATCCTTAGCAGCTCCCAGGAAAGAGAAGTCAGAACTTTCTTCCCTTATTTATTTGCATGGTTGCACACAGCCTATCTTTTGAAAGGACTTGGGGTAACTAAGAACAGTCCAAAAAGTAAGCAAAGCAACTTCAGTATAGATAACTTGAATGCCATCCTTGCCCTGAAAGGGCTATAAACCACAAACCGCAGTGCAGCAGGAGTGCCCTGGAGTGTCCCCTCCACACTAGCCCCTGCTTTGCAACAGCCCCCTGCCTTAGATACAGCTTAATCCTTGGAAGACCAGGAATTGATAGACCTACAGCTTTTCCGTATGTTTTACAATTTTTAATAAGTATCTTTGCTAATTAATGAATGAACGTGAGTCTCCACTGCAAAGATAGCCCCCATAAAGTCTTTCTAGGGCACAGGTGGCAAACACGAGGCCTGTGTGCTGAATCTGGCCCTCCACCTTGTTTCTACCTGATGGCAGCGCCAAGCTCTCTCTTAACTGTTAAGGCATAGTTACATTTATACAGGCCTAAAATTACATTCAGCCGTTTGAAGGCAACCACTAGGCTGATATGGCCCCTGTTGAAAATTAGCTTGACATCCCAGTTCTAAGGAAATTTGTGACATGTCAAACATAGCACAGGACTCGGCACTCAGTGGGGAGGAAGTAATGTCAATTAGCCTTAAGGGTATGACTTGTAGAGCCCCCAAATACCCTGCTGTAGTGGGTTGAGTTGTGTTCCCCCAAAAGGTATATTCAAGTCATAAGGCCCCACATACACCATACCTGTGGATGTGACCTTATTTGGAAATAGGATCTTTGCAGATGTAATTAACACAAATATCTCAAGATCATTCTGAATTTAGGATGTACCCCAATCCAATAATTGGTGTCCTTATAAGAGAGAGAAGGGGTAGGTTTGAGACACAGAGACACACTGAGAAAAAGGCCAGGTGAAGATGAGGGCAGGCATTGGACTTAGCATCTACAGGCCAGGAATAGCTAAGTCCTACCGGCAGCAGCAGAAACTAAACAGAGGCACAGAGTGGATTCTCCCTCAGAGTCCCCAGAAGGAACCAACCCTGCTGATACCTTGAATTAGATTTCTGGCACCCACAACTGTGGGAGAGTAAACTTTGTTGTTTTAAGTTACCCAGTTGACATGATTCACTGTGGCAGTGCTAGGAAATGAATATGCCTAGTGACCCCTATGTGGCTGCCAGTGGGCTAGTCTCTTCTACCAGTAGCCTGTCATTAAAAGTAAAACCCTGCAAGTCTCTGTCAAGTACATGGGACACTATTGCCTGGAGGGCTCTGTTGAAAATACTTGATTAGGTTCATCTGTATTAGAGACCAGGGTCCTTAAATTTATAGGAGTTGGCACAGTTCAGGTTGAAAGCATAAACAAACTAGAGCTTGGTTTGCTACCAATGCATCCAAACTGAGAAATCAAGTAAGAAAAGATAAAGATAAGATAAGATAATGGAAGAAGAAAGGAAAAGAAAAAAGGAAGGAAGAAAAGAAAGAAGAGAAAAAGAATAAAGGAGGGAGGGAGGAAGGAAGGAAGGAAGGAAGGGGTTGTAAATCCGAAGGGGGATGGAGGAGCAGATTACCTGGGCCCTTAACATAATTT